GACCGAGTTGCGAAAACAAGGTCAAACAACTTCTATAAATTTGTGTAGTTGAACGCAGATATGATGACCAAGATGTTGTGGCCTTCTGTTTGATAACAGTCTCCCTTAGCTTTAGAGTGTTGGTTCTACCTCGTTTTCGCAATATAAAATTAGTTCGACCTTGGTTTCAACACTTGGTCATATTATTAGGAAGGCCTAGATGAATGGGCCTTGTCCGCAGTCCATAGTATGCGTGGGCATTTCAGAGTCAGACCGCGTATTTGGTACATTCCCAGCCGTTTAGCAGACATCATAGTCGGCATCATCAGTGATTCTTGCCAGTCTCAGCAACCAAGCTACATTTCATCAAATAGACAAGTCAAGTCGATCCCTTGACCAATTTTCTGTCGAGACGGTTAGTCAAGTTAATGACTTCACATGTCTCTTTGACGATGTGTAGCTTGGTTGCTGAGAATGGCATGACTCACTGATGATGCCGATTAAGATGCCGGCGAAGCGTCTGTGAACGTACCAAGTCCACGGTCCGACTCTGGAAATGATCCTGCATACTATGGATTCCTGCTAATATGACTAAGTTGCAAAACCAAGGTCAAACAACTTCTATACAACGTAAGGATACCGCGATCATACAAAAGGCCACACCATCCTGGTCTTCATACTTTATTCTCGCAACTTAGTTGGAACTACAGGGAGACCTTGTGGAGTGTACCTAGTCCGAGTCCTTTGTCAGAGTATTCGTGATTTCCAGCATTGGACCATTGGCTGGATACATTCCCAAACGCTTCGCCGGGATCCTGTGGGCATCCTCAGTGAGACGCACAGAGTTGCATCTCACCACTTTGATAAGTTGTAACTCTCTGTCCTTACGATGGCGCCTCTCACCGACGATGCTGGGGAAACGTTTCGGGATGTACCCAGTCAATGGTCCAATGCTGGAAATCACGAATTCTATGGCAGAAGACACGAGAATAGGTACGTTCCACAAAGTCTCCCTGACGCTCCGACCAAGTTGCAAAAACAAGCTCTAGCCAACACTACAAGGCCAGTTGAAATGCCATGGTATCGTGGGGTCTACTCAACCGATTGTATGAATACACGAAAATCAGTTCCTAAATTGCCCTAAACAACCTAGACTGACTAAGTTCTTAGGTATGGAGATCAAAATGGTTGTTGTTGTGTGGTGTTGCTTTGACCTTTTTTCACAAGTTGGTCGGAGAGCCATGAGACCCATTGCTGAACGGACCAAGCCCTGCATCCACTGTCATATTATTCATGATGATGTCCAGCATCGGAGTGTTGGCTTGGTACACCCAAGACGTTTCGCAGGCATCGTATTCGGCATCGCAAATGACATGTACCATCTTTAGCACATAGTTACAATTTATCACAGTGACAAGAAATAACTCTGCGCGTCTCACTGACGATGCCAACACGATGCAAAACGTCTGGGGATGTGCCTAGTCGACGTTCCAGTGCTTGAACTCATCACTAAGATTATGACAGGGAAGGCAGGACTGGATGCGATCCACAAGGTCTTTCTCTCACTCCGACCAAATTGCGATAACGAGGTCCCATTAGCACTGAATCAATTCCTAAATCGGAATGACTGTTAGTCTTAAAATCCACTCATATCAAAAGTATAATTTTACACGAAGGTATGAAGACCAAGATGGTGTGGCCTTTTGTGTGGTCGCAGTCTCCTATCGTTGTATAGAATTTGTTTACAAC